ACAGGGCTGTGATCTCAAAGCCCATGGTCCTGTTTGTTCTATTAACTCTCTCAAATGAAGTCTACACTGGACCATCAGCTCTCCTCCAGACAGAAGCACATGGACCACGTGCACTTAACAGCCTGTCAACATGTCACGTCTCAGCTCCTCAATCAGTCTCTCTGGGGTGGGGCAGGAAGCAGCAGCCCGTCTTCGCCACACCCTCCTCCTTCCAGGCATGAGGACTACACAGGGTTGGTGGAAACTTAGTTCCCTCTGCTTTCCAACATGGCAGTTTCTATGAATTCCCACAAAACCCGAAGACACCTGTAGACAAGCCGTGAAGACAGCCACACCTAAACTCAAGAGCCCGCAAGTACCACGGGGAAGACCACTGGATTTCTGTGGTGGGTGCCAAGCCCACGGGGGTAACTGTTGACACGTCTCACCATTATTAATTCTAACAATGCGAGCTCCCACGTGCAGACACCAAAGATGCTCTCTCACAGCCACACTGGCTCTGGTCCCCTCAAGTCCTCCTACTCGGGGCAGCTCTGTGCCCTGACTCAGCAGGAAGCAGACACAGAAGACAGACCGCTGTCCTTGTTCCCCAGATTAAATAAGAACATTTCAAAGCAACCAGAAGAGGGAATGAAAGGTCAGGGCCCAAAATGGAGTCCCCATGGCCTCTGGAGCTCAGACACGACAATAACCCTTTCCCGGAGCCCTAGGCGAGTCACAGGACATTGGGCTTAACATCTCCCAAGAATCTGTCTTTCGGCTACCGGACCTGCCCTTCTCGTCTGCCTGATCAACGACCAAGGCTACCCCTCACCAGCGATATGCCTGCCTCTGCTCATGGCTGTCTGCCACCTTTCTCTGCAGGCTCGTGGCTGACACCCCCAACCAGCTATGGGTCCACCTTTCTCTGCGAGCATGTGGCTGGCCTCCCCACCAGCTACCAGCCCAGATTTGTTGATGCACTCATTACTGACCCACCAGTTACCAGCCCACCTTTGTCTATGTGCCAGTTACCGACCCCCACCAACTATGGGCCCACCTTTGTCTACGCGTTTGTGGCTCACCCACCTCCACCTACATGCCCATCTTGGGTTCCAGCATATGGCCGATTCCCCTACCAGCGACCGGCCCCCGCTATTGTCTACGCGCTCATGGCTGAACCCTGACCAGTTACCGACCCACCTTTGTCTACACGCCTGTGGCTCACCCATCACCGGCTACCTGCCCACCTTTGGCTACAAGCACATGACTGACCACCCCCCACCAGCGATTGGCCCACCTTTCTCTACGTGCTCCTGACTGCCCACCCCACAACCTACTGGACCTCCTTTGTCTAGGTGCTCATGACCTACACAGCCACCAGTTACTGGCACACCTTTGACTGCGTGCTTGTGGCTGACCCCACCCCCAGCTGCCAGCCTACCTTATCTACCTGCTCATGGCTGACCCGCCCTCACTAGCCACTGGCCCACCTTGGTCTACGTGCTTGAGACTGAATCACCACCAGCTACCGGCCCACCTTTGTCTACATGCTCGTGGCTGGCCCACCATCAGCGACCTGCCCAGCTTTGGCTACAAGCATGTGGCTGATGCCCTCACCAGCTACCGGCCCACTTTTGTCTGCGCTTTTGTGGCTGACGCACTGCTGAAGCGGGGCGCCCATCTGCGCCACTTCCTGCCATTTCTCGCTGCCCTCCTAAGACCAAATAATCACATTCTCAAAGCAAGTTTTTGAGTCTGCTCCCACTATGTCACCAGGATGGCATGCTAGTGGCATGCAGTGGCACACTCAGGGCTCACTGCAGCCTCGGCCTGCTGGGCTCAGGCGATCCTTCCACCTCAGCCTCCCAAGTAGCTGGGACTACAGGCGTGTCCCACCACACCTACTTTTTAAAAAATGTTCCGTAGAGATGAGTTCTTGCTATGTTGCCTGGGCTGGTCTATGAACTTGTGGGCTCAGGCAGTCCTCCCGCCTCAGTCTCCCAAAGTGCTGGGATTACAGGTATTGAACCACAGTGCCAACACTTTTGAAACAATTTTTTGAGTTGGAGTCTCACTCTGTTGCCCAAACTGGAGTGCAGTGGCTGCTCCCAGCTACCGCAGCCTTGACCTGCTGGGCTCCAGGGATCCTTCCACCTCAGCCTTCCAAGTAGCTGGAACTACAGGTACGCGCTAGCATGCCTGGCTAATTTTTTTTTTTGATTTATTGTAGAGATGAGGTCTTGCTAAGTTGCCCAGGTAGGTCTTGAACCTGCGGGCTCAGGCAATTCACCCACCTCGGCCTCCCAAAGCGCAGGATTACAAGCTGAGCCACCAAGCCTGGGCTTGAAGCAATTCTTAATCACTCAAAAACTAATTTGTGATCAACATGGGTACTGAGCCAGAAAAGCTGGGCAGTCAACAACACACTCACCATCCAGGAGCGCCTGACCCATCTTGCAGGCAGGCGTGTCGTGTACATGGCGGACACTGCCTTGGCTGTCCCTGCCGCCCTCCACAGGAAGCCGGGATCTGTTGCTTCTCGTGGACGTGCTCTTAACACGCTGCTTTGCTGTGTATGAGGACGCTGGAGCCAGGCCTGTCCCTCTGGCACTGCTTCCTGCTCGTCCGCTGGGCAAGACAGGGCTGTCAGTTCTGAGCCAACGAGGCAACGTCAGCAGCTGGTGCAGACACACTGAGCCGCCGCGCACACCTGGCCCTTGGCCCACGGCGCAGCCGCCTTCACCATCCTCCCACTCACCCGGGCTGTAGGTCGGGCAGCCCTGCCTTCACTGCTCTGCTGAAGACTCACGTTCAATAAATCAAGAAGGCAACTGACGTAACCTGGGAAATACTTTATTTTTTACATTAGAAACATCATTTTAATTGCCATACGATCGTATTCATTTATGAGGTACAACGTGTCTGTTGTGTAAGGATCAAGTCAAGGTCATCAGCATATCCGTCAGCTCAAATGTTAACCACCAAGTGGAGAGGACGATGTTCCACTTGTGACTGTCAACCACAGCAGCCACCCAGGCATGCAACAGCACCTCAGGGCTTGGGCCTCGTGAGCAGCAACTTTCTTCCGTCAGAGGGCTTTCGTGTGCAGACGGACAGATGTGCTGCCCGTAACTTGTTTTCCAATCACAGGAGCTTTTTTTTTCCTCTCTTTATTCATGAAGACTTTGTTGCTACATCCAGCAGTAGCTTTTCCAAAAAAACCACACAACTTGTAAAAGGCACTGGGATTCCTAGGCCAATGCTAGGATAGAAGACTGAAGACCATGCTTTAGGGGGAGAGGGCTCAGTGCTTGCCCGACATTGCTGCTGCCGCTGGGAGCAGTCCCAGCAGTCGGTCAAAGTGGCCAGCGGAAGGGGCTTCAGGGATGAGGCCGTGATGTTCTCAGATGCTCCAAGATGCCAGGAAACACTGAAACTAAAAGCATCTGAGGCTGTCGTGCAAACTGTTAGTGCCCGGAGGCCCCTTCCAGAACATGAAGCAAGGGCCTGCTTCACTTGGCACAACATGAGCCACAAGTTTCTGGGCTATCTTGGCCACCACGTAGCTGCTGCTTTGTTCCAGCAAGCGAGCGGGGTGGCCGCGTCAGGGCCAAGTCCACCCCAGCCCCTGCAAGCAGTTTCCAGACTCACACTAGCACACCAGCCTACAGAGGTACGGCAGAACCAGCTTCGCGTGGAGTCTCCGAGGTTCTACAAACAGCAGTGCAGGAAGGTGCGCTTGCAGCCGCCTGTTGTTGAGTGACGCACGTGAAAATAAATCAATGATTCAGGGCTCCAAGTCTCCAAAGGAGATCTTCATACATCAACACAGGGGTACAGGGGCACAGGGGTGGCGAGCCGAGGCGGTGGAGACGGCTTGCACACCTTCCTGTCACGATGCAGGGCCACCTTCCACCACTGCTCTCCCCCAGCCCGCACGAGGGGCAGCAGGGTGGGCTTTGCTCCCTCAGTGCCGTCTGGCTTTCTGCAGCTCTCCTTGCTCCTCCAGCCTGCGCGTGGTGGCTGGTATCTCTGCTGGACCTCCACACTCTGCAGTCTGACCCTGAGGCACTCACAGGTGTGTGGCAGGTGTGCTCTTCCAGCTGAATGACTCTTGCTGTGGCTCCATGCCCGCCGCATCCCAGTGTGTTGGACCACCTGGCCCCAAGGACTGAGCATCTTGTGATGAGTCGCAGCATTCAGGCTGACAGTCTGCACACCTTGTGACGGCCAAGGTAGGTGCCAGCTCAGAGCACACACCAGGCTCCTAGGTGCCACCGCCCACACTGGGCTTGAGAAGTCATGAGGTGTCTCAAAGGACCCCATGTTCTGACCCTGTCATTTTTGAATCTAGATAACTTAGAACTTACAACCCTTCCAGCGAGTCTCAAGTTGAACAGTTCTGTTTATCAAATTGCTGAATTAACCTTTCTGAATTCACTGACTTCTAACACTAGCCTTAAGTCAAGGTCTGATACCCAGGAGACCATCAGGAACCAAAACCCAGGTCAAAGAGGGGCTTCACAGTGTCTCAGAGCTGTTCTTGGCTTAGGGGAGAAATCAGGTTCACAAAATCTAGAAAGGGAATTTACTGTGGAAAAGGGCCTGGGATGCTAAGTTACACTCCCAAGACAATGCCTCATTTACTAGGGAGTGCTGTCTCACAAGTACATGGTGGCTGTGTCCACTGACAACACCGTTTCTACCTACCCTTACTATGGTGTACCCAAAGAGGCCGGGCAGTAAAAACACACTTTCAATTACATAGCACCAAATATAACTGCCAACTCTACCTAGAAACAGGTTTTTTTTCTGAGTTGGGTTCTTACTTTGTCACCCAGGCTGAAGTGCAGTAATACCATCATAGCTCACTGCAGCCTCTAACTCCTGGGCTTGAGCCCAGCCTCCTGCCTCAGCCTCCTGAGTAGCTGGGACTACAGGCACTAGCATGCCAGTATGATTTTTAAAACATTTTTGTAGAGATGAGATCTCGCTATATTTGTCCAGGCCCTGTCTCCTGGCCTCAAGAGATTCTCACAAAGTGCTGGGATTACAGGCGTGAGCCACCATGCCTGGCCTGAGTATTTTTAAGAAGATCAGAAAGAGAAATGCTGCATGGAAAGGTTTAAACATATCTTAGAGCTTAAATATTAAATCTTTCACACATTTTCACCTCACGTGGAAGGCACTAAATAAGTTACACTTAAATGTCCTACACACACACACACACACACACACAACTGGGTGCCTCTCCTGGAAGAGTGCGCAGACATTATTGAAAATGGAAGCTACAGATCCATTGCCAATGACATAAAACCCAAAATAAACATAAGCAGAGCGGTACTCTCCTAAATGGAAGTAAACCACGATTCCTCTCCCAAGGCAGCTCTTCTTCCAAGAACGTTAGTTCTTCTCTAAACAGGAGCGCTCTTTCCGGAATGAGACATGTCTTGCTGCAGGCGTGAACAGAAACAGGCCCCACGCTGCCGGGAGCCCGGGGTCCTCCAGGGAGCAGCGTGGCCGCGGGGTCGCTAGGGGAAGTAGGTCAGCACAATCATCTGGATGGGCTGCCTGCACACAGGGCAGGGCTTGTTCCTCTTCTTCAGTTTCCTGGCACACGGGAAGCAGGCCATGAGGTGCCCGGTTTTGCCATGCACAATGCACCCGTTCTTGGGCCGGCCCTGGCAGATCACGCATGGCTCGATGGCGTTGAGGGGAAAGCTGGCCTCCGCGCCATCCTCCCTGTCCTGCGTCTCCTCCCTGTCGAGCTCCCGGAAGTCCTCCTGGCTGCTGCAGACGACGCTGCTTGACGTGGACGGCTGGGAGTAGTCCTCGCTCTCCTGTGACTGGGAGGCTGGCGTGGCCTTCTCGTCACTCTCCTCGGGCCTCGGCTCCTCAGTTTCGCCCGCGGCAGTCTTCCTGCAGTCGGGAACGTCGAAGCCCTCCTCGGCCGCCGCCGGCTGCTCCAGGGTGGCCTTCTCCGTGGCGTCCCCACTGTCCTTCCCTTTGCCCTCAGGAAGCCAGTTCTCACGCAGGGCCCAGCATCTGTTGCAGTGCGATGGCAGGGGAGGGTTCAGCTCGCTGCACGCGGTGCACTTCCAGTAGTCCTTCAACGAGAAGGGACACGGTTAGTCTCCGCTCTGCCACCAGCTGGCCACGGCAATGCTGGACACCACAGCACGGCCACGGTGAGAAGTCCCACACAGCACAGCTCACGACATGCATGCTGGATGTGGGGCTGTCGACGTGGCCAGCACGATGACGTGGCCTAATGCCAGCATGCTGGAGCCTGGACACGTGTAAGAGTAGGTCATAGGTGATTTCCCCCCCCACACACAAAAGAAACTCTGAGATATAGGGGTGATAATTGCTTGACTACAGCCATCAGCTCACTACTCCTACGTTTGTCAAAACGCCACAGTGTGTGCACACTTCATATAGAGACAATAAAACCAAGATTGTTAAAAGTCAACATCTAGCAGTCTCTCAAGTCTCAGATGGTAACTACATGTTTTTCGCCCATGCCATCCTGAAAACATCCCAAACTAAACATGCGCTCACTGTGGCTCTCACTACGGACCCACGAGGTCGTCCATATCAGGACTTGACTACAGGCGGTTCACCGCGGGGGTAAATGCCAAGCGATCGTCCACTGTGACACACCCACCCCGCAAGGCACAGTCCTGAACCCCTGCCTCGAGCGCACCAACCCACTAGAGGAGGCCTGCCTCCCAGGGAAAGGCCTCCCAGGCCACTAGGGCCAGGACCACCCTAGAGTGTGCTGATCTGCGCTCAGCTGCCCGGCCCCTAACGGCATCCAAAGGGAAGTGCTATTACGTTCTTCTCAGCAAGCCCGGCCCTATGCGGTCCGTTGTGAGGCCAGTCCATCATCCTCTGTCCCCTGCTGCGCTCTCGGCTCTAGGGCTCAGTGCTTCTTCCTCCTCCCAGTGTCTTACTGCCAGGCCATCGCATGACACCCACCCAAGCAACTGCGTGGGCCTCAGCCCTGCCTTGACTTGAGGGGCCTTGTCCGAGGACACCCGACAAGTGACAGTCGCCCCGGATCTCCCTCCTGCTGCTGCTGGGAGGTGCCTGATGAGAGCGAAGACAGCAGCACAGACAGGGACAGTCCGCTCCCACGCTGGCCCCTCAGGGCGTCCAAAGGGTTTCCAACCCTCATAAAACCAAAGTTCTTGCAAAACAGGGGAAAGTGCCTCAAAAAGCCCAGTAAGTAGCAAGATCTATGTCTAAAATACTCAACTTGACATCAAATGGGTCTCAATTTAAATAATATTTGTTTTCTAATACAGCAAAAATTTTGAAAAAGACCATAAAATTTCAGCCTTTTAACACCTGGATAATTAAAAACTGCTTCCAACTCACAAAAAGGTGGGATTTACTTCCAATTCAAAATAAAAGGCAATATTAAGAACAAAAATTAAAGCAGTACTACTCAGTGAAGCATGCATGAGCTGTAAACATTTAAGTCTTAGTTTCTTTCATGGAAAATCCTACCACATTCTAGAATACAAACCAGTAATAAAATGCTGACATTCGACAGAACGCTGAAGGCCAGGGGACATGCATGCTGGAGAGCTCATACTATTCTGTACATACCTGAAAGTTTTCATAACTCAGTCTTAAAAAGTTCAAATTCCAGCACATAAAAATAAAAACTTTAGCAGCAGCTCTCACCACAACAAATAAAGTGCGTCAAATCATTCAGATGTTACAAAAAGGATTTTAACTTTATAAAAATCACTTCACTTCAAAAAGCAGACCAGACACATTTTCCTAATCTTGACCTCAGCATTATCTTTTCATACCTCAAAGTAGATATACTTACAGCTAAGGAAATTTCCGGATCTTCTTCAAAGGAGTCGGTATCGCTCTCCCCAGCCTGGTACACAGTAACCCGATATACCTACGAAATAACCCATTAGCACCACCTCATCACCTTCTTCCGTCTCAGCAGTGGGCAAGCACCGCACAGGGGAAACCCTGAGAGGGTGTGGAGGGAAGAAAGGGCGGGAGACCCTCCCTACCAACGAGTCGGCAGAGGCTGACGAGGAATAAAACAAAGCATTCAGCATGATGGCCTCACTTGGCAGACACGGATGTGTCAGCTGCGGGGAAACGGCTGGAGACGCTGAAGGCAGTCACTTCCAGGAAACAAAGCTGGGGGGACTGCGGAATTTTAACTGCCGGCACATCTCCCTTTTACAAAAAGCGAGTTCATGTTGAGAGAGGGTAACTGAATTATTTCTTTTTTAAAATTTTTTAAAACTTTACTTTAAAGATGTGGGGTGCAATTCAGGGTCTAGTATACATGTGATCATCATACAGGTAAAGTCTGCCTCCCTTTGGTCCCCACTTGGTCTGGTTTGAGATCAGGTACCCTTATTGATGTGATGTACCTATATTATTATTTTATTATTATTATTATATTATTATATCAGGTACCCTTCTTGATGTTATGTTATCAGAAATTACTATGCACACCTCTAAGGAAACAAACTCAATAACCTAAATAAAATGGAGGACTTTCTGACACCACACAACCTCCCAAGCTTGAAACAGGAAGAAACTGAGATCCTAAACAGACCAACAACCTAGGAAGTTGACGCTGTCATAAGAAAACTACCTACCAAAAAAAGCCCTCGACCAGATGGCTTTCCAGCAGGATTCTACAAAATATACAAGGAGGAGCTGATACCAATCCTATTGGAAGTATTCCAGGCAATTGAGAAAGATGGAATTCTTCCCAAATCATTTTACACAGCTAACATCACACTGATAACCAAACCAGTTAAAGATCCAACAAAGAAAGAAAACTACAGGCCAGTAACCCTGACAAACATAGATGCAAAAAGTCTCAACAAGATTCTGGCAAATCAGATCCAACAACACATCTCAAAAATCATCCACCATGACCAAGTGGTTTCATCCCCGGGATGCAGGGCTGAATTCAACATCCACAAGACCACAGTGTAATTAAATACATCAACAGATGTGAAAACAAGAACCACGTGATGTGGAAAAGGCTTTCGATAAAATCCAGCATCTCTTCTTGATAAAAACCTTCGAACACCTGGCAGAGGGAACACACCTCAAAATAGGAAGAGCCATCTACGATAAACTCACAGCCAACATACTGCTAAACAGACAGAAATTGGAAGCAATACCCTTGAAAACCAGAATAAGACAAGGCTGCCCGCTCTCACCCCTCCTATTCAACATAGCGTTGGAAGTCCTATCTAGAGCAATCAGAGAAGAGAATGAAATCAGGGGTATTCAGATAGAAAAAGAGGAAGTCAAGTTATCCCTCTTTGCTGATTAGATGGTCCTATGCCTTGAAAATGCAAGAGAATCTGTCAAAAACCTGCTTGCACTGATAAAGGACTTTGGCAGAGTCTCAGTGTACAAAATAAATGTGCAAAAGACAGTTGCATTGTTATACACCAACAACAAACAGAGAACCAAATAAAAAGAACAAACCCATTCACAATAGCCACAAATATAATGCAATATCTCAGCATTTTCCTAACCAGAGAGGTGAAAGACCTCACAACGAAAACTACAAAACACTGCTCAGAGATGACACAAACAAATGGAAAACTATTCCATGTTCATGGACTGGAAGAATCAACACCATTAAGATGTCCATCCTACCCAAGGCAATCTGTAGATTTAACGCAATATACCCATGAATTACCAATATCATTCTTCTCAGACTTGGAAACAATACAGAAATTCATATGGAAACATAAACGACCACAAATAGCCAAAACAATCCTTAGCAAAAAAAAATGAAGCGCCGGGCTCGGTGGCTCAGCCTGTAATCCCGCGCCTTTGGGAGGCTGAGGTGAGTGGATTGCCTGAGCCCGCAGGTTTGAGACTCACCTGGGCAGGCGAGACCTCATCTCTACCATAAATCAAAAAATTAGCCGGGCGTGGTAGTGCGTGCCTGTAATTCCGGCTACTCGGAAGGCTGAGGTGGAAGGATCACCGGAGCCTAGCAGGCGAGGCTGCGGTGGCCGGGAGCGGCCACTGCACTCCAGTCTGGGCGACAGAGTGAGACTTCAACTCAAAAAAAAAAAAAAAGAAATGAAGCAGGAGGTGTCACATTTCCAGATTTTAAACTTTATCATAAGGCTGCAATAATCAAAACCACCTGGTATTGGTACAAGAACAGGCATAGAGAATAATGGAACAGGATAGAGATTCCGGAAGCAAAACCTCAATTTCTCAACCAACTCATCTTTGACAGAGCCTCCAACAACCACCACTGAGGAGTGGAGAACCTATTCAGTAAATGGTGCTGGGAAAACTAGCTGACCACGTGCAGAATAATGAAACAGGACTCCTACCTATCACCATACACCAAAATCAACTCTAAATGGATCAAAGACCTCAATGTGAAACCCCAACTTTAAGAATCTTAGAAAATGCAGGAGACACCCTTATGGAAATCAGAATAGGCAACCAATTCCTGATCAATCTTACCTCTTATGGCATGGGCTTTTGTAAGAATGCTCGTTAAGGCCTGTGGACTTCTGGGCATGAGCAGTAGCATAAGGATATGAGTCAGACCATAGCCCAGGAAATGCTCAAGTCAACAAACCAACATGCCAGTGTGAACAACGTAAGAGACAAGGATTTCAAGTGAAACTGGAATACCACTGTCTCAACCTCAAAGTAAATGAAAAATACTTAACAATTTTCTGATATCATTGGAAAAGAAGAACTACCTCATCATCTTCATCGGAGAGTTCTTGTCCTTCTTCACTGGGGCTGTAATCTTCTGAATCAAGAGATTCAACTTCAAATTCTACACTAAATTGATCTGAAACAGAATCCTGATCCAACCAATCGCCTGAATGTTCACTTATGCCAGCATCAAGATCCTAAAATGAGAAAAAAAAGAGGCTTAACAAACATCACCCCGCAGCCCGTGGTGCTCCCTAGCTCACCTGCACCCCTCTCCTCAGAGGCGTCCTGCACATGGGCAACACGTAAGGTCAAGGCCAAGGTCATCATGACAACCATGTTGAAACCCCAAGACGCGCAGGAAGGCACAGGCGGTACGACTTCTGTCTGTATCTCGCTTCAGCAGCACCCTCCCGCTGCCCATAGGGATGGCTCGGCCAGACAGCCCAACTGCTCCCGGCTCCTGGTCATCCAGCCCCCAGCCGGAACCATCTGGCAGCATCCAGGTCCGACTCGCCCACCTTGCCTGGGCCTCTGACAATGCGTCCCTCAGAGCACTTCCGCCTTCCGTCCTCTTTCCCAGGTGGGCGTCGTGATGGATTCTACAGACTTGCACGTGAACTGCACAAAGCTTCACAGCACACGCGCTTCTCTTCTGCGGGACACATATTTTGGGAGCTAAGACCTGTCTCACTTGTCTCTTCACATTCAAACTGGTAGAACGCTAGGCTAGTAGTGAGACCGACGTTTGTGACTCATACGGCTTTTAACAAACTGTGAACATGACCTAAAGAGCTTCAGGCTTAATTCTTTAAGTTTCTTTAGCTACTCATCTGGGTCCTCATTTCAGGCCTTCTGTAAAGTCGATAAGGACCTAATGCGACCTTCAGGCTCATGATATCTACTGTCAGTGACTAAGGTAGGAAATACACCAAGCAGAAGCCGAGGCTGGAAAACTCTGAGAGGCAGGACACAGGCGTTCTAAGTCTAGATTCAGCTGCTTAACCTTGGACATGTCGCTTAACTTCTAAGGCTACAGCCACTTCACCTACACAAGCTTAAATGGCCAGGTGGGAGGCTCACGTCTGTAATCCCAGTATTCAGCAAGCAGAAGCAGGAGGACTGCTTGAGTCCAGGAGCTGGAGACCAGCCTAGGCAACATAGCGAGACCTTGTCTCTACAAAAAAAATAAAAAAACTAGCTAGGCATGGTGACGCACAGTGGTAGTCCCTACTACTCAGGAGGCTGAGGTGGAAGGATCACCTGAGCCCAGGAGGTCAAGACTGTAGTGAGCCGTTGAGCTATGATGGTGTCACACTCTAGCCGGGCAACAGAGTGAGAGACCTTGACTCAAAAAGAAAAAAAGGTTTAAATGATCTCCAATACTCCACCAGTCCTAAAAACAACGCATATTATTTTATGACCTTTGAGATCGGAAGACTTTCTTTTTGAGTCACAGTCTCACTCTGTCACCCAAGCTAGAGTGCAGGGGCACACTCACGGCCAGTACAGCCTCGACCTGCTGGGCTCAGGCGATCCTTTCACCTCAGTCTTCCAAGTAGCTGGACCTATAGGCGTGTGCCACCACACCCCAGCTCATCTGCTTGATTTATTGCAGAGACAAGGTCTCGCCATGTTGCTCAGGCTGGTCTCGAAGCCCTGGGCTCAGGCAATCCTCTCACCTCTGCCTATCAAAGTGTTGGGATGACAGGTGTGAGCCACCACGTCCGGCTGAGACTTTTTTAGAGCCATGTTAGGAAAACAGTAAAAGCAGCAGTCCTCCAGCTGCAGCTCTCACCCCTAAAAAGGTCTGTGCTGACAACCGGAATCTCAGTCAAGAGAGAACACAGCGAGCCTCCCTCTCTGACAAAGTCAGCCAGCAAACGAAGCACTGCAGTTCATCAAGTCCTCAGCATACCACCTTCAGAAGAAAGGGCTAAATCTCAAGGAAGACTAAGTCCCAGGAGCACATCTACAGTAGGGATCTGCACACTGGCCGTGCCTCTCCATCTACCATCAGGTTGGATGAACGCAGCCTGCCTGCTGCTCCCTGTCTGTCCGCGTCCCCCGGGAGAAGCTGCAAGGCTAAGACAGAGGCGCATGGCCCCCAGAGCCCAGGAGGCGCTGGGCGGCCCCCACACCCCACCAGCCCTGCTCTGGGGCACAGGGGGCATGCGGCAGTGAGGAGGCGGACGCTCAAAAAAGGAGGATCCGGAAACTGTGAGATGCTTCATAATCAGGAAGCATCAGTCACCTGCCCTGGGGAGCGCAGATCCCACAGTCAGAAGTACCCGGTTTTGCCTGAATTCCAATTGTGATGACGACCAGTTGCAAGAACCTTAAACAAGTCATCCAAAACGCCCAAGTCGAGGCTTTCCCGCCTGCAAAAGGAAGCTGAGGCTGCTAAGATGATGAACTGCCCAGAGCAGGCTCAAACACAGGCCTAGTCTCCCATTTCTGTACCCACAGGAAGCTGGAGAGGACTGTGCTTAACTCCCTTCACAACGGGCGGGTGACGGCACCCAAGCTTCCCCCAGGAGAGAAAAATGTCGCCCCGACAAAAGCGCTCACCACGGGACTCAGTCTGATTTTTCTTCTTACCTTGTTAAAGTGCTTATTTAACAGAGATGGGGTCTAGCTATGTTGCCCAGGCTGGTCTCAATTGCCCAAGCTCAAGTGATCCTCCCACCTCAGCCTCCCAAAGTGCTGGGATTACAGGCATGAACTACCACGCTGGACCTGATTTTTGAAAGACAGGATGTTTATAGGAGTGCAGAACAGGACTACCAAAAAGAAAAAAAGCATTGCAGGGGTAAAGCAAGGACCGGGCTCTAAGCACCCTTCAGCTAGAACTCTGGCTCAATTTTCAGCAAGACTGGAAGTAAGATGGGGTTCGGTAATTCTTTTTAAACTATTTGTCAAGAATAAAGTGAAGGCCGGGCTTGGTGGCTCAGCCTGTCATCCCAGCACTTTGGGAGGCTGAGGTAAGTGGATTGCCTGAGCCCGTGGGTTCGAGACCCACCCGGGCAACCGGGCGAGACCTCATCTCTACAATAAGTAATCCCACGCTTTGGGAGGCTGAGGTGAGTGGATTGCCTGAGCCTGCAGGTTCGAGACCCGTCTGGGC